AGAGACACACACACAGACAAAACAGACAGAGACACACACACAGAGACACAGACAGACAGACAGACAGACAGAGACACACACACACAGACAGACAGAGAGACACACACACACACAAACAGACAGAGAGACACACACACACACACAGACAAACAGACAGAGACACACACACAGAGCCACAGACAGACAGACAGACAGACAGACAGAGACACACACACACACAGACAAACAGAGAGACACACACACACACAGACAAACAGACAGAGACACACACACAGAGACACAGACAGACAGACAGACAGACAGACAGAGACACACACACACAGACAAACAGACAGAGAGACACACACACACACAAACAGACAGAGAGACACACACACACACAGACAAACAGACAGAGAGACACACACACACAGACAGACAGAGACACACACACAGAGACACACACACACACAGACAGACAGACAGAGACACACACACACACACACAAACAGAGACACACACACACACCCACATAGATAATAAATAAATAACTTTAAACTGTATTAGTGCGTAAACTCTCCCATGAGGCTAGAATTGTAGTTGCGACCTTTTCTGTTTGTAAACTAACTGAATACATTGTCAATTTGTGTTGGAATGAATAAAGTTGTAAATGAAGTATGAATATTTCACTTCCCCAAAAACCATAGATATGTGCTTTTATTTTGAATGTTGGCACCGGATGTTCAATGTGTACTAATTCCAGCTAGCTTCCCGCTAGCTAAAACAACCATAAAACTACGGCGAAATATCAAATAAATAAAATAAAGTACATATCCAAGATTTAACATTCACTTTCCTCATCTTTGTGTCTGATTTACTTCACTTTCTGAGTCCCACAGTCGCGTGTAAACGGGTTTAAAGGGGTTTAAAGTGCCTAAAGTTCAGCTAACATACGCGACTCTCCCCGGTGACGTTGTTGACAGTTTAACGAGGTGTCTCGTGTTGATTTACGTTCTTCATGTTTAAACACACACACAAACAAACAAACAAACAAACAAACAACACACACGCGCAGCCGCACGCGCCCACGCAGCAGGAAGAGGCGGCGGGGAGGATAAAGAAGGAGGAGCCGCCTCGCGCCGCTACAAGTGTTCGCATTACCCGACATACCCTCCGACTGTGATCCGGCTCTCACGTCCGTAAACTTTCTCTGAAAGCTAACAACATGTACCGGTACTTCGGAGGGATACTCACCCGAGGAGCGGGCACCGTCCTGGGCTCCGGTGGCTCCGTCGCCGCCCTCGACTCGTTTCTCCCCGCGTCCCTGCTGCGGTACCGCGGCTACAGCCAGGTAGCGGATGCAGACACCAAGGACGATCCTAACTTCTTCTCCATGGTGGAGGGCTTCTTCGACCGAGGCGCCGCTATGGTGGAGGACCAGCTGGTGGAGGGTCTGAAGACCCGGGAGTCCGCCGAGCAGAAGAGGAAGCGCGTCCGCGGGATCCTGAGGATCATCAAACCGTGTAACCACGTGCTCAGCGTCTGTTTCCCCATCAAGAAGGACAACGGCGAGTGGGAGGTGATCGAGGGCTACCGGGCTCAGCACAGCCAGCACCGGACCCCGTGCAAGGGAGGTGAGACTATCTATAATAAGGTTATATAATATGAGTCATATTATCTGTAAAATCACAATTATGACTTTTTAGTACAAGTCAATGGAGGAAGTTAACATGTACATTTACACAACTACTACAGTTTGAGGTACTTTAATGACTGCTCTTATATCTGGTGATTCACTTTAAATACCTGACGCCCAAAGAGAGACACTTGTACTCGCGTGTGTATTTTATCATTGTATGACCCTTCGGAGGGGCCCGACCCCTATGCTGGAAACCAGAAGTATAATAAACTATAATATGTTCTTCTCACAACTGCAGAACCAGTACTTCCACTTCTGATAATACCTTTCCTCCAGCAGAGGTTTGAATGACTTGTACTTCAGTGAACTGTTGGCTGATTAGTGAAGTCAATGAGAAACAATTTAAATTGTTACTTGCATTGTTTAAGTCTTTTGTTTTAAATCAAAATGTCCAAAACAAAAGCTTTAAAGGGACGAGGTGATGTTTGGTTGTTTGAGGTACTTCTACGTACTCTGTGTATTACTACAGTAGCAGAGACCGGTCTACCGTGGACGGACCCGGATCCTCCAGCAGAGACCGGTCCACCGTGGACGGACCCGGATCCTCCAGCAGAGACCGGTCTACCGTGGACGGACCCGGATCCTCCAGCAGAGACCTTTTAGGTGTCTAAAATACGTCCACAGGAGTACACTGCTTTGGTCCCGTGCTAGTACTCCTGTGTGTTTCTACTGTAGTAATACACGGAGTATGTAGAAGTACCTGATACAGCTGCAGTCCTTCTGGTTTCTCTTCCTGAATTATGGATCCAGACTACCGCCCCCTGCTGGTGTGGAGGGTTATCTCAACGGGCTAGTTGGCCGTTTGCTGGCGTCTTCGCGGTGCGTTCAAGTGCAACTTTCATTGTGGTTTCAGACGCGTGAGACAGAAAACCTTCATCAGAAATGTAGAAACTGTTTAGAACCAATCTAAGAAAGTATAGGACTAAAGTTACATTACTGGAACAATAACAATCATTTTACAGCTGATTCATCGTGTTTTGTTGTTGCTATAAAACAACAACAAAACATTTAAAGAAACACGTGAATATTACATTTTCTAGAACAAACGTCCAGTGTGTGTGTGTGAGTGTGTGAGTGAGAGAGAGAGAGAGATGTCCTGCAGGTTTGATGTGTTTTAAGGTGGAGAGGTTTCCTCCCCTGGTAGGAATGCAGACAGTCCGGTTGTGTGTGTTAATGTGTGTGCGCTGGTGGTTACCCTCGATTACTGCTGCGGCGTTAAGATGGCCGCTCCTTTAGTAGAGTAGACAGGAAGTGGAGCGTCTAAAAACGCTTATTTAAATGTATACGTTCCATCAGAACGTCAGCAGCCAATCACAGCGCATGAGGGCGGGACTTAAAAGCGCACCATGTGTTGAGTGTGTTAGAGGCCCGACTGTGCTCGTCAGACGGACCTTCAGGATTCACTCTGAGTCACTTTTAAGTTCACTTCTTTCTAGTAGATTGCCGCGGTAACAGATGCTGAACACCTGGGGAGTAGAGATGGACTGAAGTAGAACCTCTGCCCCCTGACCAATCAGAGCTCAGCTCACTGATATGAAGAAGTTGAAGAGATAAATCAGACTAACAGAGTTTAAATGTGTTTAATGTCACATATTGATGATGTGAATGAAGTGTTTAATAGAACACACATGTAGTCTGTGTTCTATTAAACACTTCATATTTATCTCATAGTTTTCTCTTTATTTATAAAATGCTCCATGTCTGTGATTGGTCAGATGCTGTAAACCCCGCCCCCTTTATTATTATGATGATAAGAAGCAGTTCATTAGATCTGAAGTGTGAAAGTATTTTATTGTGTGTTTGGTTCAGACGACGGCTCTTATAAAGTACTACACATGAGTATGTTTTAGAGGTACTTTACATCCTGTACTACTCTGTACTTCTACATCTCGGAGGTAAATGTACTTTTTACTTTACAGGTTCACATTATTAATAAACTAATGCATGAAAGTGATGAACACATTAATATATATATATTATTCAGCAGAAAGAGTACTTTAAGGAGCACTTTCTACTTTTTGAATGCAGGAGTTTGTCCTTGTAACAGTACTAGTACACGGTGGTACTAGTACCACCGTGTATTAGTACATTACCTGGTGAACGTGTGTGTGCTTCATGTTTGCAGGGCGATGACAGTATAAACACTGGGTGTGGTTCTTTTCACTGATGAAACTCTTTGTTCCTGACGTTCCTCGCTCCTCTTCCTCACTCCTCTTCCTCACTCCTCTTCTTTCTGCTGACTGTGCATTCTTCAGTGAAGAATAACCACCAACATTTAAAGAGGTGTGCAAAAAGAAAAGTCTCAAACGTATAAAAACAGAGAGAACAACTTCCTCCTTCCTCTCTTGTTCTTCTATTTGTCTCTCTGAGCTGCAGCCATTTTGTGTGTGTGTGTGTTTGCAGTTGGGGTGCGTGTGTACAGACGTGTGCGTGTGTACAGACGTGTGCGTGTGTACAGACGTGTGCGTGTGTACAGACGTGTGCGTGTGTACAGACGTGTGTGTGCAGTTGGGGTGTGGGTGGGTGTTGGCTTCTCTCCACTCTCTGTCTTTAGCGTTCCTGACAGACAGACAAAGTAGTGAAAGAGTCAATACGAGTTATCTTCACCTCTTTATCTCTTTAAACACTCCAGACTCATAAACCAGTGATTTCAGCTCTACTGCTCCTCCAGCAGAAGCTGTAAAAATACATAATTATCCTCAGATGTTCATCTTTCCGGTGGTCCCTGAACACATCATGTGTGATGAACGTTTCAGTCAGAAAAAGCAACAAAAATGAAGCTTAAAATTGAGATATTTCATAAAAACAAACAAAGTAGAGGTTGTTAAAATGTAAATAGTTCATTTATAACACGTAGAGCCTCCATTTTAACACTTAACATGTTGAATATATAGATTACATTGTTTTCACATTTGTGTATAGTAAATTATCTGTGCATCAGAACACATGTTTTTATTTAAGAGTAAAAAAACTAAACTCACTTTAATTTTAAGCTAGTTTTAAATTTTGGTGCCATGATTTCATCCGGTTTAATGGTCCATTTAATCCCTGTTATTTTAGGATTGTTCCTGAAGGAACTGAGCTGGACTACAAAGTCTTCCCTGAGACCTGGCCCTGGTCAGGTCAGGTCCTGGTTTTCAGGTGAACTGATGTCACTGTTTTGTGTGTTTTCAGGTATCCGGTACAGTACCGATGTGTCTGTAGACGAGGTGAAAGCTCTGGCCTCGCTCATGACCTACAAGTGTGCTGTAGTCGGTGAGCACACACACACACACACACACACACACACACACCTTAAATCCGTGTCTGAACCTGCAAACTGTCAATTGCATTAAACAGGTTTAAATCAGATTCATTGGTCCTCCTAAAGATAACCACCCCCCCCCACACACACACACACACACACACACGTCACCATGGTTTTATGGTTTTAAGGACTTCCTTTTGGTGCGTAACAATAAACAAACTCGGATAAAATAAGATAAATCCTGTTCTGGTATTTAATGATGATGATGAAGATGATGTTCGTGTGGTGTTTGGTCTCACAGTGAAGCAGATGTTACATTAGTGATGTGTTCCAGATGTGCCGTTTGGTGGAGCGAAAGCTGGAGTCAAGATCAACACAAAAAACTACTCTGTAAGTCTACACATATGAACTCTGGGAGGAGGAGGGAGAGAGGTAGAGAAGGAGGTAGAAGAAGAGGAGGATGAGCTAGAGGAGGGAGAGAGAGGTGGAGGGAGACGCTGCAGAAGAAGAAGTAGTCACGCAAACATCTGCCTCTTGGGACTACGGATGAGAAATAGCCTTTTGGCTATTAACAGAAGATTAATGTGTTCTGTTTCTTATCAAATAAACCAATAATAAATATAAAAACAAACCCAAAACCTGCTGTAGAGAAGAGTGAACCATGTGACCTATCAGGAGTGTGTTCCTTTAACACCCCCCGCCCCCGCCCCCCCGCCGACAGGAACCGCTGAGCCATCAGCTGGCAGACATTATGAGTCAATGACTTTCTCTCTGGATCAATGTTTGCTTCACTTCACTCTGCTGCAACAAACACCTCTGACCTCTCACGAGTTAGCTTAGCATAACGACTGGAAGCAGGGGGAAACTGCTAGCATGGCTGTGTCTCAGGTGAAACCTGTAGTGTCGTGATGAAGCATTTCAACGTTGTGTTGAAGTTTATTTGTGTGTTTTTAGGACAACGAGCTGGAGAAGATCACCAGGAGGTTCACCATCGAGCTCGCCAAGAAGGGCTTCATCGGTGAGTCACCGACCTGCATCACTGACTATATATTTTATTATTATTATTATTATTATTATTATTAGTATTATCATTATTATTATTATTATTATTATTATTATTATTATTATTATATATTATTATCAATATTATTATCATATTTATTATTATCATTATTATATTTATTATCATTATTATATCCTGGACTAGGGATGTGTAGTTGCTTCTTTTATCGATACTCTTACTGGTTGTTTATTATTATTATTATGTGAGAAAATTAAAATCAAGAAAATAATCCACATTTATTTATTATTATTATTATTATTATGTAAACAAACAGTTTCTTGAGCTGCAACACAAGAAGTTCTAAAATAAACTGCTGCTGTTTCCTCCCTCACGTGAGGTTTCAGACGATATAATAACAAAAACAATAAATACAATATCAATAAATGTAATAACAATAAATGTAATAACAATAAATGTAATAACA